AATTGTTAATCATATAGTTTTTTTAAAACTTTGTTGTGTTGTAACTTGTAACTCAATCAAAATTCTAACGAGTAGTTCCTAAATAATTAAAATGTATTTATTAAGGATAATATTGGTCATAAATTGTTTTACAAAAATATAAATACAATACATAGAGTATAGAGGTAATACTACTTAATCTAGAACCTCTACACGGACAATTTTTTTAAATGTCAAAAGATATAAAATATCGATAGAATATTATATTAATTAGTATTATTTTCAAATCATCATATCACCAATGGCTGATTCATTCAAAATGTTAGGTATACAACATAAAATATCTCAAAAACTGCTAGTTCAAATTCCGAAAATCTAAATAGATAAATCAACATTTAAAAAAAATGATTATTTAAAAATATGGTGATTCTTTTTTCTTATTTAAAAAAAAAAGACTGGTATGGCCAGTGGCCACTGAACACTTCTAGTAAAACTTTAAATCTAAATATTTTAAAATATGGTCTTTAAATTTCAAATATTTCAAAATCAAAATTTGAATAGATTTATTATTAAAGGAATAATACCTAATGGGGGTGGGGATTGCCTTACTGAATTATCCCGTATTTCTATAAACAAATTCAACTTTTATTGTTTTTATTATTTGGTATCCAATACCTACAAGCTGCTACAATACAATATAAAAAGTTTTTAAATGTTAGTGTATGTAGCCCTATGTAGGTACTGCACGTGTATAGGTATATAATATACTGTACCTATGTATGTATACCGTTTTCTCAAAGAATGACATTTATCTTTTTTTTTTTTGTTTACTGTATACCTATTATACTCGAATGCAACACTAAAACTCATTAGAAAATAAATAGAAATGAGTTAACATTAAATGACAAAAAGATGAGTTTGTTCTATGTGTTCTACAAAAGAAACATAGTAATACATATTTTTTTAGATTTTACTAGGAAGGTATTTATGGTTTTTTTCAGTGTTAATTCATCTCATTAAAATAAAGTTTGACTAAATAGTCAAAAATGTGTTTTCGGTCGTTCACTCCACAATTTACACAGTAGGTACCTATGTCCTATAAATATAAGTTATTACCTACTTATTTGTACATTCTAGACTAGGTATTTAAAATATTAATTTGTATCAATTATTATTTTTTCTATACCTACATAATACATAAATAATAATTAAAAATATAGGTACTTACCTATATATATGTATATATATTGTATTTTCTTGATTTAAATATTATACATAAGTAATCAATTCACCAAATATTTAGCTTAGGCTGTGTAATGTATAAAGACATAAAGTGCGGATTATTATTAAATTGATTGGTTATTACTTATTACTAATGTCTTATAATCAATTTCAATTAATCGGTATATCATACTACGACACGACGTACATGGACACAATATAGTCATACATTTTATTTGAGTTTGTAAACGTTAAAAAATTTAAAACAGAAGGTACCTAACAAAAATATTTAAAAAACGACAACAAAATCGTATAACAAAAACGATAACTATAATAATTTAAAAAAAACAATAACCTAAGAAAATCATAAAATGGAAACAAAATACCTATACATTATAACACTAATAACGCCATAGACCATTGTAAACAAAACAATGTAAAATACCTGATTAATTTCTATTAAAAATTAAAATCTCTGTTTATTAACATTCATAACAACTATGTTAAAATTGTAATGATTGAATATTTATATTTTATTTATACATATTATTTAACATTTTTTAAATCACTTTAATTATTTATTTAATTGTGTGCATATTTTTTAAAAATTAATTATTGGTATTATATATTAATACATTATTCAGCATCATTATCATATAAATTGTATAAGACGGTGATAAATAGTTTATTTTTGTGGTGTTGACTGTTGATGTTGAACCATGTACATTTTAATCATGTATTTTGTATAATGTATTTATTACATATGTATAAATAACAAAACAGTAGAAAATGTGAATGTAATTATTAATTATTGTTGGAAAATAAACCCATAAAATTTAATGGTGATGTCAGAATATTGGTGTCTATATTTGAATGTACCAAACTTGAAAACCTTCGATTATATACATCTAATTTCTAGATATGTTTTTGTTAATAGAAGAATTCGACATTATTATGTAACATTACTGCATTAGTATTTACATAGTATAATGAATATAACAAAGAGTTAAGGTAGATGTCCTAGGTAGTTATCTAAAATTGAGTTATAGGTACCAATATATATTGTATCTATTATCTATATATATAATATATGTTTATTACATTAATATAATATCCAGTACCTAATTGGTTCTCTAAAGACTATAAAACATACATTAAAAAAACCTTAGGTACGAGGTACCTATACCATAAATGCATATCATACCTAATACTTTGTTTACATATTTTTAAGCATCAAATAATAAAGATGAGAAATACATAATACATAAAATACCTGTATATATATAGTTTATAGTGTCGTTTAAAATGGATGCGACGAACTTGCAGGCTGATGACGTCATATTATATACATTATTTGTTTGTATTAAAATATTCGATTAAGATTGATTTGAGATTTGAGATTTATCGATGTGTAATGTGTATGTATAAATAACTACCTATCCCTACACAGTACACATTATATTTTTTAATAATATTAATTTATGATCTAATGCAATTGTGTGCGTGAGAAGATTTTATAAAATTATATGTATAGTTCTACGCACTTATTATAGCGTCACCTACGTGTGTATAAAGACTACAAAGAGACTTAAACGCTTATATTTGTCACTGGATGAAAATACACCATGTTATGTATATATATCTACTTTACGTTGTACTTTATACGAAATATGAATATTTTATAAGTTATAATTTATTACACACTGACTATTGTATAAAGAAGCAAAATTATATTTTGGGAAAATCCATTTTATATATTAAGTGGTGGAACCCGGAACCGTAATTATATATGTATAATATGAGTTGAACATTGGCATACCTATAACTGAGTTACCGAACTGATTTTATTGTTTTAAAACAAATGCAATTGATTTTTAAGGGTATATAATATTAAAAAAAAATAGTGTATTATGAATTACCAGTAGCCATGGTTTTGAATTGTGATAGTGGGGGAGAGGGGGTGCATGGCCAATAAAAACACTGAGTTGTAAACCATTTATTTTTATTTTTAGTTTTACTATTTTTTAACAGTATAATAATTAGTTATTAAATTTCATTACAACTTAGGTATTGAAGTCTAAACATTTTTAATTTTTAATAATTATTTCCAATCATGCATGTTCAATAGCGGAAGACGGCAATAATGTAACGTATAAACACGTGAACAATTTCTGGTTTTGAGATTTTAATATAGATAATAGTTGATTGTGTAAAGTAAAAAATTAAGAATATAAGAGTTTTGCATGAACTTTTAAATTTGAATATATAATATACATATATTATTACAAAAGAGCCCTTTTGTCCCTCCAGGCTTCCACCATGGCACTATACAGACAACAGAGGTATTCACTTGCTGTTCACATATATGATAGGTATATTATATAGTCTTCATATGGTATTTATATTATATTACAATACCTGATGGTAGAGTATGACTTATGTAAGATTTTTCAATAGGGGGAAAGACTTAAAAATAAATAAGTACACAGTTGAAGAAACAACATACAATTTGAAAGAATAAAGTAGCTCTGAGCTCACTAGCTCAAGTATAGGTGCCCTCGCCCCTCCTATTGATATAATATAATATTTTAGTATAGGTAGGTGTACTGGAAAACAAAATTAACAAAATTTTAAATTTAAAACCATAAAAATAATATAGGTATTAAGTAAATAAAATAATTCAACTTTTATTTTAATTTTGTTTAGTCTATTAATATTTAATTGTATATGATAAAGGTTAGGTACCTACCCATTTAAAAATGTTAATATAATTTAAACTTATGACAATTTGTATTTTTTGTCTTTATGTTGGCTACAACCTATAGGTACCTAATAATCCGTTAAGATGTTCCTAGCTTTGTCATAGAAAAATTATAGTTTATACCATAACAAAATGATTTTAAACTTGAGAATGTTCTCTATTAGGTGTAGCCGAGCTAAAGTTCATTCATCCATGCATCCATTCATGCATCCATGTTGTAGCCTGAATTATGAAATGTTGGAGGGGTTATATACGAAAACTGTAAAAACTTGGTTTAATTTATACTTACCCCCCCCCCCTGTAAGTATAAATTAAACCCAGTTCTTACAGTTTTGTATATAAATAATACATTTATTGGGGGGAGGGGGGGTAAACACCCAAGAATTTTAAATACTCATAACTCGCTTTAAAATAAAAATATAATAATAAAAGAAATTGCTAGATAATAATCTTACCTTTAAATTAAAAAAGAGTTCAATTCACTCAAATTTTTTAACTAACGGAACTAAACGTGATTTTCAGAGCGTAAAATTTGCAATGTTAAGTACTTGTATGACGGAAACAAAACATGAAGGTGCCACGTTCTCTAAGTCAGTTGTTATTGATAAAAACGTAACTATAGTGTTATAAATAGTTATAATAGAACTTGGTTATTACTTATTTCCATTTGTAAAAACTTGTTCTAGGATGATTTAATCGTTATTAATTATGAACAAATTATGATTGATAATTAGCTATAATACAATTATTATTATTAATTTTTATTCTACAATACAATTATCTATAATTAATATAACATGGGAGGCATGGACTCATGAAGCTCGTAATTTAAATAATAATGTATATAATGATAATGTGTTTAATTTACTTAAATCAAACATTTTTATAAAAATAAAAACAAGCAAATATACAATATAACGCCATATATCTGTATATTTCCAAAGCATGCTCAACCGCCATTTTATCCTTTAATAATATATCTATTTAAATTATAATTTTTGGAATTTGTAAGTATACTTAAGGACCATAATATATTAAAATACTTAGATAAATTATAAAATATTTAAGAAGGGTCATGTCACTTTACAAATTTATTTTTTTTAAATGGTCAATGGAACCCTTTTTATTATAGATCATCAACCAAATGACTTTATAAAATATGTTGTGTATGAAATATGAATCAAAATTCTAACTAACACGTTTTTTTGTAAGTTATTAAACCTTAAACGTACTGAGGATAATAGTCTATGATGATAGATTTAAAATAAATGGGAAACTATTTATTATTAATTATTATGATTCTAAAATTATAGTTGCCATTGCCCATTAATATTAATCTATTTTAACATTTTTATAATTTGAAAAATTGTCCGAGTATAATATGACATAAGTAGGTACTTATAATGTCTAAACTAAATGTTATTTGTAAACACATATTATATATTTTATGTAAAATAATTATTAAGGGCTATTATATTCAGTAAATACAGTTCAATAACTCATAAACTACATGTTTAAATTTGAAATATCAATTTAGATAGGTACTCAACATTTTCAAAAGAAAAAAATCATCTACTTCACAATTATCAGTAAAAAGAAGCCAAAAAGTTCTCGTTTGAATAAAGAAGTTTGTATCTTCACGATACACTCTTTAAATTATATACCAAATTTAAATATATGGAAACATGTGGCTTGTAAGTAAACTTGAAATTCCAAAAATTTGTATTTGAAGAAATGTGTAACTAAAGCAAAAAACGGGCTTGAACGTGCTTGGTGAATCACCGCCTGTGTATTCAAATGCATTTGTGTATAAAACCTTGTTTTGGGAAATTTCATAGTAAAATGTCCTAGTTATTTTTTATGTCTGAACAATTTTAGTCGGTATCCAAATGTAAAAAGTTGGTTATTTAACCTTGCAAATTGCAAATACCTATATAAACTTACCTATTAGTAATTAAGGCAATTAGGTATACATAAACACCCATAGGCCATCGTATATAAGAAAAAAGAAAACTTAAAAGGGAGGTCGTGCACACTTAGCTATACTCCTAGGTACACAGATACACTGGTTTATCGCTTATTGAATATATTATAGTGTTCAGAGAAAACACGTCATGCTCGCAAAAAACAAATATTAAATGTATTATACTTATATAGGAGTCTATAGGAAAGTCATCGGGTGAAATAAAATGTTGCGGTCGGCGGATATGCGATATATACACATAAAAGATATTATTATGCGGATTGCGAATTATTGTGTGCATTACGCGGATGTAATAATATAACATTATCTGCAATAGTATATAGAGTGAGTATACTATATATGTATATTATAATTTATAATAATATGATAGGTACATTATAGTATATATATATATATATGTAGTATACGATAATATATATACGACGTATAAAATTGACAAATTGGCATATAACAGACCATTATCCTTATTATATCAATTTATTATTGCGCCGAGTACACATTTTCATATGTATATAATTATCAGCCACGCGTTTGTTGGTTGTACTTTGTGCACACACTTATATTTACTATATAATATTACGTCTATGTATATATGAAAATTCGCGATGATAAGTATGCATAATAATAATAATACATATAGCTGCACTGCAAGTGTCGGGGCGAGATCCCAAGGCCTGCGCCACCGCGGCCGTCCGTCCACGGCGGCGCCATGCGCGAGCGATAGGTTTGCCCGCCGCGGCTACGGATTGGGCGGGCTACGGCGTGGTAGGTACTGAAATCCGTTTATAGACGTATCGTTCTCGCGTATATAAAACGCACACCGTGTCGAAGCGGACCGCAGGCACGAACCGCACCACCGCCGCTGACGCAGATAATAATATAATATTTTCGGTCAGTGTGAAAATCTCCAGTTTCCGTCGTGGCGCAGTTTATTCTCACCCGTCGTCGTCGTTTTCCTAAAATATACATTTCGCGGCCGTTAAATCGCGCGCAATAGACCGAGTTTAGTGCGCGTCGAATTCGTCGCCCGAAACGTCGTGGGAAACTCTAATATATTATACATATATACCGTCCGATTGCCCAATAGGTATACTGTTCGACAACATAAAAACACGCGTTACGTGCGTATATGTATTCGCTGCAGTCATTATAATATATTATTATCACTGTATAACATTATAATTACCTATCGAAAAGTCGCGTGTTATTTTTTCTCTCTTCCGTTTCGATTTTTCCGGCAAAGACACATATACCGTGCATAATATTGTATAATAGGTATCATATCACTGTCGTCGTCGTCGTCGTTGCCGTAATGTCGTCTTACCACACTTGGTTACGAGTGGTTTTGGCGTTCGCCCTGTTGGCCGTCGTCTATGGGGCGCCCATCTGGGAAGAGCTGTTCGGATTTCCGCCCCGTCAGCACTACCACCGCAACTCACAGCCGACGGCTAGGACGCCGAAGGCTGGCGGCAAGGAGAAGTACAAAGCCACTTGTTGGGTCATCAATGCGGACAACTATGCTTTCCCGGGTCAGTCGCCTTACCCTTCGGCCCCGCTGTGCCCCTACTGAAGTCGTACCTGAATGCTGCATTTATTATTTATAAATTATAATATTATATTATAGGTATACGTATGTATTGATGGGGGCCTACCCTAGATTACCAATAATATATGTAATATAGGAATAGGTACCCGGTCATAATATATAGTTACCGGTCAAGTACGCCTGGAGTGTGGACCACCACCGCGGCGTAATTTAAGTTTCTAAAGTAAAATAATCCAACATGCTTAACTATTACAATAATATATATACGTCATACAGCAATGATATATATAGTCCAGTGGCGTGGCGTGGGTATTTAAAAGATGTAAGCAGTGAAATTTTTTTTTCAAAAGTGATTAGAATATAGGTACTAGACCTAAATATCTAATTATAAATTATGTATAAAAAAATGTTATCCTTTTAAAATTTTTAATATTTTTAAAAATATACTAGTTGTACAAATCAAATTCGAGAAAATAAAGAAATTGAAGTATAAATACTTCAAAAGTCTATTAGGCGAATGACAGTGACAGTGTACGTAAAAACGACTACAGTCTACAACGCGTTGGGCTACGTACTGGTCGCTCCTTGTTTCTCGCGTAAGCAAAATCAAATGTGCTTACAAACGCTAGTTAAATACGTGGCCCCCACTATGGCATTATAGACTATTCGAAAACAACAGTTGCGCGTAAGCAATTTCAGAATGTGTTACACTGTACGTAGTACGTATGTACATCGTATTATGATTATGCAGTTAACATAATACAGAATGGATTAAAAATAGACCTACAATCGATGATTTTCTTAAATTAGTTGGTAATCAGAAGACAGCGTACGACACAAATAAACAATAACAAATACCACTACCAGCTATAACTTAAATATTGTATAAATAAAATTAAAATTTTAAAAATCATTTATTATGTACTTATTAGTCGTGACTCGTGATTGATCAATTTTATTTTTCTTTCATTTAAAGTGTAAGCAGTGCTTACAGTGCTTACATGCACGCTACGCCCCTGATATAGTCATATATTATACCCATATACCTATTATATATTTATGTATACCAAAGACTACGATTGCGTAACGTGCAGTATAATTATGTATATATTATATATGTGTATGCGTATAGGTAACTCTATTATATTGCTTTCGTTCTAAAATTACGTTATATACCTAAGTACCTACTCTTAAGTCAAAAAACAAATATATCATACTAGTCGTTATGAAGCGCACGTCTACGTTATATTATACCCATGTGTCTGTATACGTTGTGTTTTTTTACGTGTAAAATAAACGATTTGTTTTTATAAAATCACACAGTTTAGTAGACTATGTTATTATCCAGTGTTGAATTATTATTACTCTGTTAATATAATATTACATTTTAAAAGTTCCAGCAATCCTACCCATATATATAGTCCCATGTAATACGTCTGCTATTGTCTGTTACAGTCTGAAGCTTATGAGCAAATATATTGTAATTTACGACGAGGATTGTCCTTACAGTGGGTTAAGATTAGGTACTTGTAAAGCGTTTACAGTATTACAGCCAGCGCGCCTAAATTACCTTGGTACCTATGTATGTTTTGTAATCTAGCTTGGTCATTGACGCTCGTTTATTATAAGCTGTTTCTAACAACAACAAAAATAAATGATCGAAATCTGATCACTCTAGGAGGCGTGAGAGTTTTTCCTGTAAGCCATGTTTTTGAGTAAAAAAAAAAGGTCGTGCGCAGCCCCCTTAATAGTTGATACGTAATGTATGTACCTATATTATGACAGACGGCAAGTATCAACAACGAAAATTCAGTTCGATTTGGCCACCGACCGCTAGCCGGGGCTCCGCCAAAATTGACCTCGCTGCGTCCGTCGTCTATAAAAATGAATTGAAAACGATTGCGCGGTGCTCGGCGGTCCGTCGGATGGCCATAAGCCGTGAAAAATACTTCACTCGCAGAGCAGCTGTGCAGCAGCACGACGACGACCGCGACGTTTTGTTTCTTCTGACGAGGCGCGCGCGTATACCTGTCCGGTATAATAGGTATACGTTGACAATCACGTGTGCGGTAATTGGTAAATGCTGTGCGAAGGCCGGTACCCACGACGTATATTGTGAATCTATGTATACTGTATAGTGTCGTTACTTGTTGATATTGATCAAATAATAATATGTACAATGTACCTACCTATGTATTATTATATTGTCAAGTATATTTGTTTACTTTTATTCATGCCTGATTTTCGACACGTCATGATAATAATTTACGATGACCATTGACCAAAACAATATAATATTATGTGTCTTATTTACGAAGTTGTGCCCGAATGAATTTCAGTATTTGACATTTGTAGGTAATAGGTATACCTACATAATATTATATTATATTATATTATTGTATTATAAAATCAAGCTTCTGCAATGCTCATGATGAAGAATTAAAAAACGCTATTAAGGTAGGTATAGTAAGTCTGTTAGTATGCATTATATAATTATATCTATGATTTATAGATAGATATAAGCAGTGGCGCAACCAGGGGGTGTTAAGGGGTTGTACCCCCCCCCCCTGAAATTTGTTTCTGGTTGCGCCACTGACTATAAGAGCATATAAGATAGGTAATGATCTCTCTATAGGATAGTCTAGGTGTATATATTATTATTATAATTTATAGTATACGATACGATATACGTAAAACTACTTAGCAGTGGTGTAAGTTGGTCATGTTTGTGGGGAGGGGGGGATTAAAACATTTACACCCCAACCCACAAAAAAAAAATTGGTTTATACCATAAAAACCTCTCATTCCGACCATTGTGAACTATAATCTGTACAATGTAAGTATATATACTATAGCTAGGGTTCATGTATAAATGCATACATAGGTAGGTACATGAAAATAAAAAACTTCATATTATTTAATAATGTTTTAAATGGGCTATTTCGAGTAGATTTATAACTTCATTTCACTAATGTTTCCTAAGGTTCAAAATTATTGAAACATTTTGATATTTACAATTTATTAGTAGATCTACCTATACCTAATTACATAGCATAGTTACCTAGCTAGGTACTTATGCGTTAAAAAAAAAATAATTTCCATTTTTTTTTTGTAAATTCTAGTTAAAAAAATTAAATCCTCGAGTCTTATTAACTGTTGACAAATTATTCAAATATTAATCTAAAAAAATAAATAATTGACCTATGACATCCCCGCAAACGAGTATCAAGTATAATATAATATAGCTACTTCAGCCAGTTCTATTTATTAATATGTATCTACCTGACTGACTATATGTTTTAAGTCGAAATTATGAAATCAACATCGTCATTGCCGAATAGTACCTACCTACTCGAAATCGGAAATTTGATTACCAACTGCATAAAGCCGCCAATATTTGAATATAATGATTTCATGAATTAGGCAGACTTTGTTTGTCAACAAATTATTTGACGACGATGTGGTTATATAGACTATAAGTGCTATTTAGGTACTTATATAAATTAGATACGGCTAATAAGTAATAACATTATAATATATGTAGCATATAGAGACACAATATAATAGTTTAGGTATAAATGTATTATGTATAATATACATTTTAACATGCATCGGTGCAATTACCAATTAGGGGGATGGGTGGCTCAGTCCCCCAGTTTTTAAATCATATTTTAGCTTAAAATATAAATTTTCAGGTTTTGTGCTGTTGGTACAATTCTAAATTTCTAGCCCCCCACAGAGAAATGTCTCAAGTTGCGCCTATCGTCTATGCCTTTATTGCCATTATGGGTTAATATTCAATATCACTAATAATCTGAACTTCAAACGCACCTAAAAAATGTATATGTGACTTCCTGTTAACTTTTTTGTATTATAGATAGAAAATCTTATGAGGACCTTGTATTCAATTTTCAAGTGTTTTGACTAACCGAAAAATGATTGATCGACAATAATTTTAAAAAAAAATCGAGAATTTCATATATTTTAACATAATAACATACGTCTTTAAATAATTAAAAATCCTTAATTTATTAGAAGTAACTTAATATTTTCAATAGAAACTGAAGACTATATTAAGCTTAACTCTGCTTAGAATTTTTTTATAATGTAATGTACCTATTATTGTTTATCATTGAATTTAAATACCTAATTAAGTACCTATGTCCTATACGGCTATACTATAATAAATAATAACAAATTATTCTGTCCCAAGACAAGTGAAACGAAGTCAAGACTCAGGCATGGCGGCATCCGATATCCAGTGTTTCTGTTTTTATTTTTATTTATTAATATTTTTCTACCTGTTTAATTAATTATTTATACATTATATCATTATAATAATATATAATTACTCAATAGACAATAGTCAATTGCTGTACTATTGGCAGTGTTGTAAAAGATACTTTTAAAAAGTATTCAAGTACAGATACAGATACTTTTTTCAAAAGTATGTAAAATACGTATTTGAATACTCGAAAAAAAAAGTATTTAATACAAATACAAATACTTTTAAATACTTTCAAATACTTTTTTTTTTTTTTTTTAAATATTTTTCACTTTTTTACCTTAGCCTAATGACCTTATAGATAAATTGAATTATTAGTCAACTAAATAAATTAGTATGTATGTATAGATATATATATTATCACAACTATCGTATGTTATTATATAGTAAGGTATTTCCAATTTTATTAGGAAATCGACAGACTGTATACATTCAGTTAAATGGATACACATTACCTAGTATAGGCCACTAAAAATATTACAATATACCCACCAAAACACACCATGAACGATCTATAATTAAAAATCTTGTACAATTTCAAATTTTTATTATTTTATTTAAATTTGGTAATAAAGTAAAAGTATTTAAAAATAGTATTTGATTTTAAATACAGATACTTTCAAAAAAGTATTCAAATACTATACCCAAGTACTTTTTTCAAATGTATTTAGAATACGTATTTGAGTACTTAAAAAGTATTTGAATACTTTTACTCAAATACTTTTACTCAAGTACTTTACAAGACTGACTATTGGACCTATTGCTATTTTATTTAGAGAAATGTATTTCTCACACATGCATTTGTATTAAATATTTAAATTTGGAGGATCTTGTATAGGTATTAGGTACATTCATTATACACGAATACATAAGATATGTCAGTTGAGAGGATCGAGAAAAATATCACAAAAGACAAATATAAATTATAGTTATAGCTTATAATATATAATAGGAATTTATTTGGTACAATACTGTCAGTACGGCAATTGAACAATTATTGCAAAACTAGCTCACGGTTAATATTTTGGCATTTTTATTACAGAAATCGTGCGAGTAAGAGAAAATGTCTTAAAGTTGCCTACACAAAACCCCTAAAAATCATCAAAATATTTATTATTTGTTGTTACAGCCTACAGGTTGATTGAAATGATTGTTAATAATGATTTGCTGGTAGAAAATCTCTATGACGACGATGATGACTCTCCAGGAAGGTAACTAATGCCGTAAATTAACCAACATAAATAGCATAACTGATTTTTTATGTACGAGAGAAAAAATAATTTTAATTTTTAAATCAGTATTGTTGTTCATAGTTCATCAGAAAATAGAATCATTTAATATTTTAACTCATTGTTTTTGTTATTTGTATTAACTATTATGTATACATTATTTGCATGCATATATTAAGCACACGTACCTACCATAAACTCACATAGTCACATGAATATGTAAAGATCATAAGCCCATAATGTATTGTTTTGAATTTTGAAACAACGATATCGATAGGTACATTTATTATAATATATCGTTTCAGAGCGATGTTCAATAGTATTCATTGCAATAATAATATATTATAGAACGACAATTAGAACGTGTATCAATTTTTACCTACTACCTAGGTGTTCTTGTTATTGAAAAGAATATATAAGTATCATTTATGATTATGAGCATTTTCAAAATGCATTTTGATTTTATTATAATATTATAAACTTAATTATAACTTTGTCTTTGTATACACAATTGGAGTGTTGCAATATGTATTAAATCTATAAAATAAAAAATGTTTAAGAAGGTGGATATACGTGCCACTTCAAGAGTCAAGTGTGTAGAAAATTTTATATACAGATAGATACAGTTGTCTGTATCCTGTTATCCCCAGCAGACAGGGTTTCTGAATCCTTAATTCCACATTTTTGCTGTTAACCCTAAAGACATCAGGAACCATTTATTTATAAATATATTTGTTTGGCTCGGAGGCACTACTCGGTTCCTTCCCCAACTTTTATTATTTTATTTACTTGTATGCCTCAATCATAATTTATTAATGTACCTATACGTTCTACATACTTAGTGTAGATTTTAATTGTATTTTATAAACACAGAAAACAAATTAAATAAAATACAAATATAAGTATAGCCGGATAGGTAGGTAGTCATTTTTTTTATACTAACAATTACAATACAAATAGTAAGTACACATCATTTCTTAGAGGGGCAGCAATTTTCTAATAATTAAGAATTATGCCTCTGGCTGACATAAAATGATAATTCAGGTAGTTATGGTAAATATCTAATTTGGTTGTTTGTTAAATAATATACATATACTTGTATATCCAATATAAGAATACAATAACCACTATTGCTATAATTGTAATAGTTTCACTATGTCTGATAATTCGTTTGAACTGCCTTGGAGCGCTGACAATCCATTGCACTTTGGAAATATTCCAGAAAATCCTGTAATTAGTGAGATTATCTGTCAATTGGAAAATTGTTTAAGGCAAAGAGAAAAACTCAGTTGCCCTAGTGATGAAATAGACACTCGAATATCATCAGTCATTCGACATGCTATGGATAGTGTTAAGAATCTAATGGAACAAAATTTAACGCCGTTAACAGACATCCAAAAACAGTTTTTAATAAACAAAAGTAGGTTGTTCATAAAAGATGCAATCAAAGTTGTTGAGAAAACCTTGAAAATGCAATCAACCTAAGTTACACGTTGTAAAAAACAAATAAATATGTATATACCTAAACAACAACTGTTGACTTCTATAGAATAATTGATTTTTTTTTTTTTAAATTTCAATGATCAATTTATACTACTTTCACCCTAAAACAAGCACAATGTCTAGCTGTACCTAACCCTTAATAATTTCCAAATCACATCATCCCTTACGCTGGCCTACAATAAAATATCTTGGACTAACACTTGGAAAACATTACTTATTAATAATAGGTAAACAGACCAACATAAACATTTAATTACTTAAGTACAACTTACTTTTAAAACCGATATGGACCTATAGCATCCAACTATTGGGAAATGCAAAAATTTCCAATTTGAAAATAATACAGGCATTTCATTTCAGAATAGTATATTGAGAAAAATAATAAATTAAAAAACCATGTCACCATACTAAACACACCCTCCACACTGATTTGCGTCTAAAAACTGTTCGGAAAGAAGCTAAACATCTATAAGATGATTCCACAACTGCCTTAAAACTCACACAAATCCATGAAAGTCAACCAGAAATTAAAATGGTGCAAATAATTAACTAAATAAACTTTAAAAAAAAACAAACAGGAAGTATCACTACTGAGTGGCTTCTAGCAATTAATTTTATTCACAGTTTTATAATTTATCAGTAAATATTCTTATTGTACATCAGTGTCATATTATTTCTTTAAAAAATAATAAAAAAATTGAATATTAATAAAACTCAAATCTGTATTATTTTTAAGTAAAAAGTTCTCAGAAGGATTTAAACTTTAAAATTTGTGTATCATTTTTTTTTACTTAGATTTAAATATTAACAATTTTTATTTAAATACAATAGGTAAATTTAAATATTTAAAATCTTAGTATTATTTTCTTAAAGACTTACATAGAGTAACTTATATCTTTTATAAATAATTTAATAAAAAATGAATACTATAGTAAACTTATAGGTATTTATTTCTACTGTACAATTATTATTAATTATTGATTAATTTAAGTTTAAAATATTGCACTATTTCGTGACCAGTCTCTGATTATTTTCATCTTTCTACCTTCATAATTTATTTAATATATTTAATTGATTCACTTTATAATATAAAGTATAATAGGTATACAATAAATTATAATTACTTAATTGCTGTGGTATAAACTGTTATTTTATATTTGTAATAAATAAAATATATTTTAACGTTTAGATGTATTTAATAATTACATTGAATTGAATACAATATATTATAAATGGTAGTCTAGATCTCTTTTTTTATTCTAACATTGATACAATCTTAATGCAACCATACAAATATATAAATTGACTTAAAACTTTATAACATTAAATTAATAAATTGTATGTTTTTGAGTTTCTGCCTTAATATATATTTTATATTCCATAATATAATAATAATTTGTTCTATGAAAAATGAACAGTACAATTAATACGTAAATATAAATTTATTTATTTACATGTATATTTTTCATTATTCAGTATTTTTTTGGAAAGTAATTTTAATAATACAACATTATACAATAAGTCAGTTAATGTTTTGTTCTGTTTATACTTGAGATCAATTTACACCTAAAATATCAAATTAAACTTAATTATATTTTATGTAAATCAATGTACTTAGAGTTGCTTTAACTTGGAAGAGTAATTTAACATTTAATTTAAATTAATTGCGAATTGTAAATGAATAGGAATTGAAATAATGACCATACAAAATTGATTTTTAAATGCAAATGATTCTTAAAATTAATACAAGAAATGTAAAGTTAGAGCATATTTTAATGTAACTATAACATTCTAAGATTTATTTTTACGTGGTCTACCTCTTTTACCTTTTGGTTGTTGTGCTCGTTTAACTAAGCATCTTGGACAAAACCAAACAGCACAGTCTGGAGGACACTGGATACCGACACACACCCAATGATACCATACATCACATCCATCACAACCAATCATTGGGCTTCCATCATCTGGTTTAGTGCACATAGGACATATCCATACTTGATTACCAGCTTCGTCGAAATAGAATGCTGGAGGAGGAGTTTCATCCACAGGAGGTATAACTGCAGGCTGAATGGTTTTTGCAACAATTTTAGTTTTAATTTTTGGAATAGGAACTTTAGGAGGAGAATCAATGATGTCGTTATGTAATATATCTATAGAAATGTCTGATTTTGATTCAATGTCCACTTCAACTTCCATTGGTTCCGGTTCTGAAACTATAGTTATATTTGGTTCTGGTGGTTTTTCAATGGGTAATACTTTTGTCGTGGTTTCGAATCGAGACCCAAATCTAAATTTTATTTTTGGCACTTTATTGGTAGATTTTAATTTATTTTTTTTCTTTTCTTTATCCTTCTCTTTTTCTTTTACCTTTTCCTTTACTTTATCTTTTTGCTTTTTTTTTTCTTTTTTCTCCTTTTTCTTGTCTTTTCTTTTTTTCTTTTGTTCTTTGCGATTAATACCTTCAATTTCAACTTGTAATACTGGACTGGCTGGTTTTTCTATTACATCTGGTACATTAATTACAGGATTAATTATTTGAGGAAATGCAGTTGGTATCAATCCAGGTCCAGGAGGTAAAGGACCAAAAAATGAAAATTTGGGTAGAACTTCTTCCATTTTCACTTTGTTAGTATGAGATGTCAGAACAACTTTTTTTGGAACCTGTAACTTTTCAGTTACATTTAGTATATCAATTATTTCTTCTATAACCGGTTCTGGAATAGGTGGTGGTGGCGATGGCGATGGTACTGGTACTGGCATTTTTTCTTCCTTCGGTTTCTTTTTTTTTTTCAATATTTCTGGTGTTTTTTCTTTTTGTTGTAAAAGTAATTTTTTTGTTTTAGAACCCTTAGGTTTTTTCTTTGTTCCTGATTTAGTTTTTTTTTTGTTTGATAAAATTCTTTGTGATGGTTCTTTTGCTATATTAGGTAAAATCAGTTTAGATGTTTCAAGAGGTTTATCAATTTTGATTTCTGGAAATGGCAATAATTTAGATTCTGCCAATCTGCCTTCTCTAGATGGTGATAAAAACCCACCAGATGTCATGACTACACTTGAAATCTCTCTTAATCGTTTGTGTAAAATAACTTCGTCTGGTTCTTGTTTAATATTTTCAATACTATTTTGACTTTGTTCTGTATCCGTAATTTGCTCCTCTTCAATTTGTTCTGTATACAATGTTGGAAGATGTTCATGAATATGAAGAGGTCTAGTTACAATTTCTCTACTTCCTGGCTTCAATGTATTTAATACACTCTTTCCTGATATATTTAATAGAGGTAAACTATGAGGAAATTTAACTGGACCTGTACTTTTTACATATCTACGTAATTCAACCAATGATACAGATTTTTGACGAAAGGCCTTTTCCACGTCTTCAATATCAGGAACATCGCTATATGCATGTTCCGCATATTTTTTAGACGTTTTTGACAAATCACGGATGTAGTGGTGAAGAATGTCAGTCATAATTTTCATCGAAGAGTCTGTTATTGAGTGCCACCCAATATTATTACATATTTGGGCAACAGAAATTGTTAACGATTGTCTTATGAAGTCATCCATTATGGTAGTTTTAAGGGAATTAATGAAATGCAAGTGTTAAAATTACTTACGTGTAAAATGTATTCATTTCTGAAAGTTGAAACATAATGTGGCGGTTAATTCATGCAAATTTAAACATGATGTTTACAATGTGTATTGTTTACTTTATTATATAAACAATAAATTTTATTAACGTGATTTGAGATTTTATCACTAATCTAGTCCTATCTAGCGTCTCTATAGGTTTTAAGTTTAAACCATGGTTGTGTTCACGGACTTAAGGGGGGTTCACACTACACCGTGTCGTGTAAAATAATCACGGTTACCACAGTTACCAAACGATACCGCATAGTTGAATATATTCAACTTTTGACCGTGTGGTTACATTTATGTGCAGATAAAGCCGGGTTCATACTTAATGTAACCACACGGTCAAAGTTGAATATATTCAACTATGCGGTATCGTTTGGTAACTGAGGTAACCGTGATTATATTACACGACACGGTGTAGTGTGAACCCGCCTTAAGAATGCACTAGATAGGTAACTCTTTCTTATCATTTGTTCCATGTTATCATCGAAGGCGGCCGTCATATTTTACAGAACAGGCAATGTTTACAAAATAATATTATCACTGTATAATGTATATATGTATATTGTAAATTAAGAATAAATGTAAACATTGCCTGATTTATAAATGGTGGCCGATTCTAAAATTTTTAAAGTCTCCACACACTGCGGTGGTGGTGGCGTTAAATTCTGTTGCCTTTGCTTTATCGCCGCGGTGAGCGGCGAAATGTGTCCTGCAGGCTGCAGCAATCATAGAAAATTACTTTATGGCAATTGGCAGCAATATTCACCCTCACCGCCACCGTGTGTGGGGCATGGCATGCCCTATGATTATAATATTATGTCACAATTATTTTACCCCGTCCTGCGCTATCTTTATCATTTCATGGGCAATAACGTCATTGGGGCCGACCAAATTGGCTTCAAGCGCAGGCTATACCCGTTGCGCCGAGAGAGCGCAAGTCGGCCGCGCATCCATGACAAAATATATTTTTACCGTGTATTACGTTCTCCATCTCTCATTGGTCGTATATATCATACGATACATTTCTGAATTATCACCTTATCGGCTTAGCATATTCGTATTTTCAAATTTGTATTTTTGTATAATATTTAAATATTTGTACCTAATGTCCTAAATGTCATTTGTCAGTAGGTAGTAATATTAGGTAGGTACTTACTCGGTAATTTACAAAAATATTTATTTAATACTTCTGTTGGTTCGAAAACATCGACCTCCGAACCTAGATGTATTCGTTTATTAGTTATCATTAAATGTACGGTATTTTGTCATGCAACTGTCGTTGTCGAATCAACTGATTAGTGTACTATACAGCACAGAATATAGTGCTCCTAGGCTTTATCTATGGGCACTCACCGACTAGGAAGTCGGAACCATAGACGTATAATAGAATTATATTATATTATACGTCTATGGTCGGAACCACGGAATTATCAAGAATTATCTACTATCTAGTCCTTGGTCGGGTCGCCATGTCGGGACGAATAGTTGATCGCAACGCCATCTGACGATTGTGAAAAATAGTAAACTTGCGTCACCGTCACGAAACCAATGCCACAAAACTAAAATATTGTGACGATAATAACAATATCAAAATCACGGACTAAGATATACAGGACTGGACACGACAAGGTTGGAGGGTGTGGGGGGGTTGACTACGAAATGTTTTACAACAGGTAGTGTTCGGGGGGATATTTTCCTTTTAGCATTACTAGCGCCGTCCTAGTGGATACTTATGGAACTAGAACACATCATACAAATTTCTAGTTCGATAAGTATCCACTAAGACGGCGCTAGTAATGCTAAAAGGAAAATATCCCCCCGAACTCCGCCTGTTGTAAAACATTTCGTAACCACAATATTCATCTCGTGTCCAGTCCTGTATATCTTAGTCCGTGATCAAAATAATACAATCACATTTCACCCGCTATAGCACCATAGCAGGCTGTTATACCGCGGATGCTCTGTGCCCTGTGGATCACTCCTCCTCCTCCTCCTCCTATTCCACCGAACGATCTCGGGCAGTGTATAACACATTCGCGTTTCGCAATTTATTCGCACGCAGAAATCGCGTAATCGGCCGCCGTCCGCCGTCCCCAACAGTACCGTCCAGCGTCGCCCGTCGTCGAGTACCGTCGCAGGATAACAACAACAACAATAATAATAATAATAATAGTAATAATAATAATGTATATCGTATAAAATAATATTATGTGTATGACGACGATGTCAAACGGTCGATTAGAAACGATAAATCGCGCAGCAGTGAGTCACGTCGACCGCGTATGCGTCCGGTTTCGATAGAACCGTTCCGTCATTATAACAAATTGTCATCATTTATCAATATTATATTTTGTTATTATTATCATCGTTATTATTTTGTGTTGGTGTTGATTTTTCTCTCCCGGTTATATCGTCGGTACGCGATTACTCCATCCTCCGCCGTCGCGCATCCAGAGGATTTGGACGGCCAAGGTCGTGTTTCCGATGGGATTTTCGCGTGACATTTTGGTGAGTAGGAATAAATCGTTTTGCATCACGTCTGGCGGTTACGGACGGCCGTGAAGCGTACGTCGGTCTCTGATCTTAGTCCAGGGTTGGGTCCTGGACGTGTTATCGTCACCTTATTTTGTGATTCCCGTGCCGAGATCACTCCCAATCTTCCCCGGTTACTCTCAAGGGCTCAGCTAAAATTTTTTTAAAAAAAAACTGTTCAGCCACTTGCTTTATTGTCGACGATACTTGACACATCTACGGTAATTCACCTTCTTATGTCGTATGATTGGTTGGGCTTGGTGTTCTCGTTGACGCTTCTTTTGCTAATCCTCTTTGATCACAAAATATGAATTGTGTTAGTATCATTTATACAAGAATTTGTTAGGCTATTGATAAATTCAAAAAAAGAATTGCATTTCAGCTCCGAATTCTTAACTGTACAGCCGTACTAGAGGTTAATACCTGTCTACGGTTTACTAGATTAGGTTAACAGGTACTAACCAATTTCATTAGTGTGTTCTTAGATGTTCTAGATGATTATTATAAAAATAATTTTGTTTCTCTTGAAATACCTAGGTAGGTTGTACACTTATACTTAGTGATAATCAAAATATATGATTAAGGACAGCGGTTTATAATATTTTGAAGTATGCAACCCCTAAAAAAAGACTTCAAACAGTAAACACCCTTCTTGGTTTTATCTCGAAAAAACTTTTTTTCAGCTGAGATTGTTCACCTTGAAGTTTGAACTAATGGCCTTTAAAATATAATTCTTGTAATTGTGCCAAAATCAAACGTTATTCTCTGCATGGAAATAATTTAATGCATTGTAAAACTTAAGGGTGATTTTCAAAGCAAAATTATAAAATTGGCAATGACAATGATCATAAACAAGAAAACATAAGTATACCTATATATTTTATATTCAGTTGACTCTCAGTAGCTCAAAGTTCAAGGAGAGTTCAATAAATTTGAAATATTAATAATTCCGAGTTAATAAAAATCATAAGTTGTTATGAGCAGTTTAATTGAATTCTTTTTGTTCCGTGTAGTTCTTTAGATACCTATTAAGATATTTATTATGAAGCAAAATTTTTTTTTAATGTTTATAAGTATAAAAATTTAATTAAAAGTTTAGATGAGCCTAGTTGTAAATTAATTTAAATGTTTATAAAGTAATTAACTACTTTTTCAAACTTTCATACATCAGAATTTTCAGCAAAAATATTCTGTTTTGGAATATGAAATTAAAAATATGTACCTACCTACCTGCTGTCTTTCAAAAAAATGTTAGAACGATAAAAAATATTAAAATAATATTCTTGTTTCAAAAATGTCTTGTGACATGAACTAAAATAGGGTACCTATCTATGTAAAAGAATATATTTTCAATATGTTAATTCTTTTTAAGATAATAAGTGTTAACAGTTAAAATTTCTCAACACCAATATAACAACAATATATTATAATTTATTTTGATGAAATACCTACCTATTTGATTTCTATAGATTTAATAATAATTTTATTAAAATTTTTTTTTTATTTTAGGTGTCAAATTTACAATGACCGTGGCACAATGGATATTTCCGACACAAAGGTTAGGGTTCTCTATGACTTTGAGTACAAGACTAGAGAAAACAAGTGCGTATCAATCAAAGAAGGCGAAAAACTACTTTTATTGAAAAAAACTAACGATGACTGGTGGCAAGTTATACGCAGTTCAGGCCAGCCATTTTATGTTCCAGCTACCTTTGTTAAAGAAATTCCACGAGCCCCTAGCAGGCCTAGTTTATCCAAGGGCGAGGAGAAAATTATAGTAGAAAAACCACAAGTGCTAAAACGTACTATTTTTGAAAAACCCTTAACTCCGTCCTATGAAAACATTCCTTTAGAAAACACAACCGTTTTAAGTGTCAATGACTTGAATGTTAATGATGTGATAAGTGATATTAAACGAGTTGATATTCAAAATGAGAACAACATATTGTCACCAGTGTTAAATAGAAAAAATAAAACTGTAGTTACAGTTAACCAAGAAAATTCTGGCTATTGTCAGGTGAATATTAAAAAATGTGATATTAAAGAGCAACTTTCATTACAATTGTCTAGCTCCTTAGAAGAACTTGCTCAAGAAATTGAGCTAAAATCATTGCCCTTGAACAAAAATACATTAACTTACGAGCCTTCTAAAGTGCAGAACTTGCTAGAAAACATTCGAAAGCCTGCCGTAATATCGATTCAAAATCTAAAAGCCATTGAAAAACCTGAAATAGGTAATAATGGACAAATTCCTAAAAATAAACTTTGTTATACTGGTAGCTTTAAAACAAAACATGAACGTGACAAATGGGCCAAAAACATAATGACCAATGAAAATATTATTGAAGAAAACAAACCAGATGATGAAGAATCAGTAATGATTAGTGATTCTGTTTTATCAAAATCAATATCTACACCTGATGCACATAGTACCAGTGCAGATCTCACAGGTGGATCAACAGATAGTCTACTAGATGGTGACTCATTGGGTATTACTGATAGCGATCAAGATTCGTTGAGGTTGCATGGATCTAGAAAACGAACATCTTTGGCCAGGAATCGTAGAGTAAGAATTATAATTTGAAATATTTATTGTTAGACCTTTAAAATTTCAAAAAATTATTATAAAATCAAGTTAGGATTGCAATGTATTATAGTACCTTAGCAATTAAGACTTAAGAGTGATAAAGCAACTAACCTATAAACAAATTAGGCATTGTACTTATCTAATAATGACAAACAATAGTCAGTCATAGTATCAAATTGTTTAAAAAAATAGGTACTCCATTAAACCATTTTGGTTCAAATCGAGGTTATTTAAAATTTAAATCTATACTAGTAAGAATATTATTTTGTATAACATTTGTGTAATTTGACTCATTTCAGTTAATTGTATTTTAGTTTTATAGGAATCAGACTGAAATATTTAACTTCGTAAGAAATTTGTTCATTAAAAATATGTTTTTAATAAAAACTATTTGAACATCAAAGTTTAAATTTCTGTATAGTAAGATTTAAAGAAGTTACCTAGAAGTAACAGGAGTTTTTCAGATATTATTTATAGATATTACATATATTATGAGTACGTCATTGTATCAGTTATTTATCCAAATTAGCTTACTATAATCACTTTATCTTCATTTAAAATATATGTTTATAGACTGTGTTTTTGAGTGTATACTCTAAACTCCATTATCAATAAGGTATAATTAATGTGTTTATTTAGCTACTAAAACACTAGGATATTAGTTTAAACTTCTTGGTGCTTGTTTAAACACTTCATTTATATATTATTTTTGAGATTACAGTACCTACAAAGACTTATAGCTTCACAGTTAATACATGGCATAATATTCATGACAAAGTTACATAAATATTAGATAAGTACAAATATTAAATTTATGGTGATCGGTGGAATTAAATAATAGGGAGACATATTAAGAGGTGTAATTTATAAATGTTTATAGAACTGAAGTAAATAAATTCTAAAAATTAATTTTTTAATTGCTTTTAAGTTAGGATATGTTATTATCAACATCAATCAACAATGATATATAATCATTGACAGCATATTAATACTGTGAAAGAGAATCCCTAACAAATTATTATTTCAGCTGCCTGTTAAATATTTATAGTTATTTATAGTATTTTATAGCACACTCACTAATATTTGTATTAAACAATAATTAATTTAATTATTAAAGTATAGTTATGCATTGAAATTCAAAAAAAAGCTGATTCAAAGACATGGCTCTAAATTGGGATGCTATATTATTCAACTGTTTTCACTTGGCATAATCAATTTTGTACATGTTACTTTCACAATAATATTTTCATTGCACGTTAAACAGGCTACTCTGTATAAAAAAAAACTTAGGAAAACAATATTCGCCTGGTTTAATTAACCGTGAAAATCAACTGTATTATTTTCTCTTGCAGTTTGATTCATTTTAAGTGATCATCGTAGTTTATTTTTTTTTCTATTAGATACCTCGACCCAATTTTCATTTCATTTACACTTTTGCTTATATTTCCAGTATTACCGTTTTATTAACATTTTATTTTTATTTTTAGGTGGATTCTTATTCTAAAAGATATCCAATACGAAATTCTTCACCGCCAATTCTAGATGTTACTCCAGGCCATGGTGAACCATTTGAACGTACCTGGTCTTCCCCTAAACAACGTATCGTTGATGTATGATATTTGTAATGTACACTAATATAGATATATATTTTTCATAATTTTTATTTTACTGTGAATATAGGAAGACAAGATAAGTGGACATAGTAGTGCTGGGACAATTAATTCGGGTAGTCAAAGTCAAAGTTCATCTCCATTAGCTGAATTGGATGAAGAATATGAGCCAAATGATAATACTCCACCTCTAAAAACAAAAGTTAAACCTATTAGTGAGACACCTGTGGGATGGATAATGCAAGCTGATCCAGCCTCTGGATTACCGTGTTTTGTAAATCAGTCAACTGGAGCAAAGGTAAAAATAAATTTCACATAATATAAGGTGTGATCACGAGTATAACATAGAATACTATAACACATCACATTTGTGCTAAAAATAATTTTACTAATAAGGACCCGAGATAAAATAAAATTAATTGCTAATTAGCAGTTGTTGTGTGCGCACCTGATTTTGTCGTCTCGTCTCTTATTTGTTTTTTTCTTATGGGTAGTTAAAATAGTTAGTACACTGTATTGTACTCATATGGTGATAGGTGACTTACCTATAAACTTATTTATTATGGCTAATGATATATGCTATTGCTGTAATTCATGCTTTGTGAATCTTGATGTTCCTATCAAATGTGATGGATGTTCACTGATGGCTCATAAGATGTGCTCTGGTCTATCTGCCCCTCTACCAAAATGCCTTGAAATAAAAAATAGATTTCCAAAATTCCTCTTTTTTTTGGCTGTAATTAAGGTCTCAAAGAAATTCCTGAGATCAAAATTCTTAATAAAAACTACTTGTTGAAGTGGATAGTTTTAAAACAAAATCAGTTATTAATTTTAATTGTTCCAATGATAACATTATTAATGAACAATGAACATCATAAATGGACTATTAATCTTATTTTCTATTATGTCCATGAAGTAAACTGATCTTAACTAACCTAAACCAGAGATATTATCTTCTGATATTAAATAGGTACCTAAACAATATAATTGCGTCTATTTTGGTTGATTTCTGAGATGTGCCTATACCTATAAAAGTCTTTCTTCTTGATTGTTACCCACCCTGTTAACAACATTCAATCTAAACTATTTGTGATTCTAAAACTTATGTGTTTGATATAATTCAATAAAAAAATCTTACTATTTTAAATCCACCTTCTCCAATTAGTATATCTACTGATCGGACTCGGCACCAGAGAGAATCCAAGAAGAATATGAGGGAGGAGCTAGCGTTGCATACAAGTAATGGTGAAACTGGATTAACTACTATCACATTTATTAAAGGTGTTTCCTAAATGTTTAAACTTGCTGCTATGTCTAACAGTCAAAATAACTCTCAAAATGTATTGGAAATTTGGTTAAATTGTGTTGAGCTGTGTCCTGTAAATTAAAATGTATTTAGGCCTTAGGGTAGAGAGAAATTCTAATTTGTATATTAGAAATGGTGGTGTTTTTGGGAGCTAGGAATAATTTTGACTGTAAATTAGTAAATGTTGACTATTTATTATGCTTTATTATAATATTATTAATTTTCTTTTAGGTTACATACGTATTCATTTTAATTCCCATATTGATACATATGAAAAGCATTGTGAGATGTTGGAAAATATTGTTATAAATTATTCTATTAACAATTTTCTAATTATTGATGATTTAAATTTGAATGAATTTGCTGTTTCTGATCATACTTTATTCAATAACCCAGTAGCCAATGTTATTGTAAATTCTTATATTAATTAAATAAATTCAGTATGTGAGTATGGTATATTGGATTTAATTTTTTCAAATATTACCATTGATTCTATTCAGGCTTTTAAATTCAAATTCTTAACTTATACCTTTAATTGTGTCTTATGGTTCACTTTTAGAGTTTATTTTTAATAAAATATAGATTCCAAAATTTCTGGAATTTTCAATTTTAATTCTTGTAATTTCTATATTAATCTCGCTTTTTTGTCAAATCTTAATATTGTGTTTAATATAACTAATTTAGATTTAGAAAAAGCCATTTTTAAATTTCATTATATAGTTTATTATACTTGTAATACATTTGTTCCAATGATAAAGTTAAATCTTATACCTTATATTTATTATAATTTAAGAAACTTCAAGAAAACAAGCCCACAAAAAGTATGAAATTTCAAATTAATTACCAGATTATTAGTGGAAGAAATATAAACAATTATTTCTACAGATTCATTATAATTATAAACTAAAAATTGAAAATAATATCAATATTAAGTTAAATTTTATGAAAGGTCACATGCCTGTTGAATATACAATCAATAAATCAATTTATTGGTAATGCCTAATTAAATAGTTAAAACCTTAAATTCATTTTTTTCCTAGTTATATCCATCATATGGAAACAATGTTGAAATAATTAATCTGTAATCGGTTTGTTTTTTTTTTATTGTCAAATTACCAAGAGTAGCATAATTGCATCATATTTTGGGTTGAACTTGAGAAATTACCTTTTGATACTTTTGAACTACTTATTAAAAATATTGTTTGAAAATAAGATAGGTCTAAAAAATTTAAATGAAACACTAAACAATTTTAACAATTTATATGAAAAATTTAAAAATATTGGATCCAGATTTTGAATATTTTCCTTGTTAATGACCTTATTATTATTTTTGTTACTATTGCATTTTGAAATGTTATATAGGTGTATAAAAGTGATTGGTACTTTTTGATTATATCTCATGTAGTCATGTACCTAATAGAATTCAGATTTTAGTTTTCTAAATTAAATGTTGTTAAATGTATATTGATGAATGTATTTGGTATAGATAAGTTTTAGTAGTTCTGTATAACACAATGGAAAGTAGATAACTACCAAATTACATTATTGACAAGTATATAGTTGATAACGTCATTTTGAACTTAGTTTTGGTTTAACATTCAATGAATGGCTATGAATATTAAAACTTATTTGTATGAGACTATAATATACTCTGTCATATATTTAGAATGCCAATATGTTAAAATAAATCGTGAAATTTTGACCTATAATTTTGTAAGTCATATAATAAATACAATTTGTATGGTTTTACTTTAAAATTATTCAAAAAGCATAAAAAAATTGATTTTGCAAAGATGTATTTTATCAATCTCATGCATTGGCCAGAAAGAGAAAAAACTGTGTACTAGCATCAAAATCCTTCTAAATAATTGTAGAGTTAATCTAGTACAATTTCTTATTAAAACTATTTAATTTTTATAATTTGGTAACAATAATATTGATTTGATGTGTAAGTGTATACTTATCATAATTTATTATTCAAAAACATGTATGATGATTTAATAAATTGATAAATAATAATTATAAAATAAATTAACTATAAACTTTTATTTTATTTTTATTTTGTGACTATTTAGTAGTATTTACTTAATTAAATTTGAATTAAGTAAAGACAATATTTACATAAGTAAACCTTACATTTATAGGTAATGACTAATGCTTGGGTAAGGCAGATGCATTAGTTTTACCATCAAGAAAACCTTGAAGATAGATGAATTATTTATAGAAATAACAAGTATTAAATACGTCATAACTTAAAATTCTAGACTATGATTTCATACATTATTTTTTAATTTTAAAGTTCAAGCAATTCTGGTCATTTTTTTAAAAAAAAAAACATGTCAATACAAGGTTACAATAAAGTATATTATATACATTTAAATAGTTTTAAGTGACCAATTTGTATAGATAGATCCCACCAAGTGGTAGATTTACATTACCGTTACATTTACATTTAAAGTGGCCGTATTATAGTTATATGAGGTCACCTTAAATAGTTGAATGTATAGACCTATAAACTTAGGTCTATGGTCAAATGTCGCTATAACCAATATTTCTACTGCATATAAAAAATATGCTTTTGCCTATCCCAATTAAAATTAAAGTAATCATTTTTTACATTCTAAAAACATTTCTGAGAAAAGTTGTTTGTTTGGCACTTTTTTACATTTTTTTTAAACAAAAAATAATAGTGTTTTTGCAACCTTGCCAATTATATTTTGTTACAATGGAGTTCAAAATGTATTTGGTGCAAATTAACATATGTAACTCAAATAAAATACTGTGGCAAGATGTGCTTTAATAATCATTTATTCAATCTAATTTTCCATTTTACTATTATAATTAAATCAGGGAATCGTGTATGCACGAATATGTGAGAAGGAGTATTGTGTTAAGGAGTGCAAAAACGCTGTTTTGTAGTAGAACTTTGCCGAAAATTATCAAACGAGAGCGGTTTTTATAGGTAATGACACTTTGATGTATAATCTTAAAACCCCCAATAGGTATGTTTACAATATATATATACTTAAAATGTGTAATCTGGGACCTGGGTGAAAATATAACTTAGTATCAAGTACTAATTGGATAATACCAATACATTTTTTTAGAATCTGAGCAGTGAATGTATAGTTATTCAATCAACTATTTTTTGGATATTTTAAAGGAATTGAATAGTTGAAAGAAAAATAAAGTTTATTCCTGTTACGGTTTTGGTTTTTTTTTATTGTAACTTAAATATTAAGTAATTGTAGACAAGAGATAAAAATACGTATATGTCGATATTGTGTTGCTCCCGTTTTACAAACGCATAATATTCATGTTTTTTCAAAATATCCAAGTAGGAAAGTGATTCTAGTTAGTTCTTTGGGGGTCAAAGGTAAAAAATTCACAATAGTTCTCTAAAGCCAAGAAAAAAAAAAAAAAAAGGTGCTCTGCTGTACAGTAGGTTACAAGTGGGTCACTGTATAATGGATTTTATTAATTTTCAATTCAATGATATAATATTATTGTATGTATAAGAAAAACTATTCTGAGCGGAGACGGTATGTCAGTCTAGGTATAAGACATATTATATACTTATCTATGGTATTAAAAAATTAGTTAACTAAAATAGGTAACTATAATAAATTCCAAATTAATTATATAACAATAAACCTTAAATTACATATAACGCGTTATACATCAACAACAAACCCTGATACTACCATAGATATATAATAGTGTACTTTAGAAGTTTCAAGTACCCACGAATAATATTATACAATTACAACAAAATAACTAAAATAGTTATTCTAGGTTTTTTATTATGTAATTTCGTCCAAATTTGAATTTAAAATGTCTGTAAAAAATAACTGTGTTCATATATTTTTTAGATTTTTTGGTTACAGTATGAACTATTTATGAGAACCTTTGTTTTAAATTTGCAATCCTTAGCTATAAAAACGGAACATTTTATAATTTACTAGCTGAACCCGTGCACTTCGTTGCCCATT